TTGGGTAAAAGAAGACACAAGTTAAAATTATATTATTATTATTCCAGTTATTATTATTATTTCATTATTATAAGTATTTTAGCTAGGAGAAGCTCTGGAATGACTCCCCAACAGTGGACAGGGGTTAGCAATGTTCTCAATAACATACCTTAGCAATCAATGGGTTAGCGTGCAACCCTCTGGCGCTTGGGGTTGCGGTTTAGCAGCAGCAAACAAGTGGTTTTGTGTTAGCATGTGTTGCTGTGAGGTGCTTTCATAAGATTCGAGTTTGCTTGAGGGCAACATCGGGATAAAGTCGTGTGTGTGTGTCCCCCCTGGGGCAACTGAGCGTGCATGTTACACATAACCATTCTTGGCCTTTAAGCTTCAGCCAAGCGAGAAGTAGCTGTCGGTCAACAGGCTTCCAGTTTGAAAACGCGTACCTTTGAATTTCGCCCAGGGGGGGGGGCTCGTCGGCCATTACCGTCTCTGCTCCTTTGTGTTTATAGTCAGTAGTTCACTGTGCATGTGAGAACAGCGTGAGCAAGGGCCATCCCGCCCCACCCCCAGCAATCATCAACGCATTTGCACAACCGGCTCGCTGTATCAATCCTAGGCACCTGCTCTCTCCCGGCCAGCTTGTATGTGTGGCTGAATCAGAAAGCCTGACACCGCCTCGCCCGCTGCGCTTCATTCAACCAAATTGTAGTAACGCAAGTAACGCGCCACTTTACATTCTCAAAAAATGAAAAAATAACGCCGTTAGTAACGCTGTTATACTTAAACGCTGTTACTCCCAACACTGTCTATTTCTGACAATAGATCCTCCTTAGTGTCACACACTGGACCTCTAAGTGCCTTAATTTGGTATTTATTAGTTCTCTGCACTAATAATCGTATGGATGCGTAATCTGCCCTTTGCTAGCTAATTGATGGTATTAGCCATATTGTGGAGGATGTGTAGTTGATGCCTTATTGTTGTATATTACTGATTGTAAAGTCAGATTGACTGAAGCAAATAAAAGCCCTGGATATTAACTAAAGTTTCTGGTTCTATTTGCTTTGTATTATAAAACCATATGTGAGTCTAGTCTTATAGAAATGTGATGTAGCCTGTGAGTGTAAGGAATGTAACAACTTGTAATATAGATTGTACTAATTATGGTCATTTATCTTTGCTCCACTTTTCTACAATCAATAAATAACCAAAAGGAACATTTGTCTGGAGTGCTTTCTGCGCCATCAGTGTCAGTTTTTATCTGCTTTTTATTGGATATATGATTCTGTTTTCATGAAGTTATCTTTTTTTTTGCAGGGATATACTTATACACTTATAACAGTGAGAAGTACAATTTCTTTTACAAGAACAAAAACATACTAATGAGGATGTTCAATCACACATAATGATGTACAACCACGAAACAAAACAAAAAAAGGAAACTTAAAAGCCGTAGAAACCATGCGACACCCTACACCCCTATAATTCATTTATTAGTTTGGAATATCTGAAACTTTGAACAATGCATTGGACCTTCCTTGGAGAGAGACTCTAATTTTCTCCAGCTTAAAAAAAATAAAGCACATCTCTCCTCCAATGTACATGTAATGGAGTATCAGGAGATTTCCACTTCATCAGGATCTTCTTGCCAGTAAAGTGGTGAAAGCAGTTACCTTCTTTTGAGATACAGAGAAAGAGAGCAAGGACCCCCCGAAGAGAACGCTGAGAGGGTTCTGGTCCAGCTTTCGGCCCAGTACTGTAAAACACTTTCATTTCATGTATCAAAGTTGCTACAAGGAAAAGTCATTATTATTATTATTAATTACATTGTTATTATTGTTATTATTATCATTTTAAATAATATAGAGAAAGAAGAAGAAGGTCAGAATAATGCCTTGAAGCAGAAACAGCTGAAGTCATCCATCAGGCTGTCAGCTGAAAGGGACTTCCCGGAAAGAAACTCTTCCAAAAGTTCCTGCTAATGAAATAACACTTCCTTCCCAGCATCTGACTGGAGAAACACGAGCTGGCTTTTATTGTGAATTAGAGGAAGTGCGCAGTGTCAGTCAGTGAGAGTTTCACTGGTCGGTGGTCAGCAGTGCGTGAAGAGGAAGAAGAGTGGGACACTGTTAGAGGAAGAACTCCTGTAGCTCCTCACACAGGTAACTAACAGCTACAGTCACAATAACCACAGTTAAAGACCCTAACCCCCCTATGCTGTGTGTCTGTCTGTCTGTCTGTCTCTCTATCCGTCTGTCTCTGTCACTCAGCCGAGAGCAGCTGTGTATTGCGCAATGAAAGTAACTCATTCTGTTAACTTGTGAAATGATTGATATGAAACCGTTTTTTTAATGATAAATGTTCGACAAAACCTTTGTTAATATCTAACTGCAAACACATTGTATCAGAGTACATCTTTTATCCATTTTACAACAACAGTATGAACAGTGAAAGTTTTAAGAAACAGTCCAACAATGTCAAAATATCACATTTCGAGCTTACTTGATAATGATTTCTTGTTTTTTACATGGTAAATGGACTGTACTTTCTAGTCTTTCAACCAGTGATCATCACCAAGGTCTTGCTCATGGTGGTACTGTTGGGTCTCTTTAAATAATGTTATAAGGAGTTCAGTCTAGACCTGCTCTATTTGAAAGTGTCCTGAGATAACTTCTGTTATGAATTGGCATTATACAAATAAAATTAAATTGAATTGAATTGAATTGATCTTACTCAGACAAAACAACAGAGATTTTCTTGTCATCAATTAGGTTGGTTTGTGGTTTGTTGAGTTTTCCATTTCTGCATGTTGTACCTATGCCTCGACATATACAACCCTGTGCATCTATTGGGTGCTACCCAGTGTCCAAAAATAATACTACAAGATACATCTAAACATCTAATATGACATACCAACAAAAAAACATATATTAAAAAAAAGGTTTCTCCATTGGGGATTTTTTCTTCTAACACAGCTGCCTGCTTAACTACAACACAGGACAAAGGTCATGGCTGTATACAGTTCAGAGGTCCGTACTGTCCATTCGATTTACACAAGAGTAACAACATTTGACATTAATATTAACTTTATTTCATAAGTTTTACTGAAGGCCAATCATTTTAAAGTAATTGCCTTTTAAAGAGTTTATAGTGGTTTGAACGAGTCAATTTAAGAATAATACCTAAGTTACAGAGGACAGGACATATACAGGACAGAGGTCAGTGCTGTAGATACAGGGCAGAGATAAGTGCTGTAGATACTGGGCATAGGTCTTTAATGGGTATTACAGTAACAATTACGATTAATATTAACTTTATTTCAAAGGTTTCAGTGAAATACAATAATTTGACTTGATTAGTGGCACGCATTGTTATATTGTTACATCATTGTCTGTCACTTCATCAACAACATTTCAACAAATGTGAAAATTAAACTCAGCTTTTATTTGTGTTTCATGGTCTTCATCAGCAGATAGAGTTTACTCAGGTGTCATGGAGATGTTTTTAGTTGCACCAATTAATTCAAAGTGTCCTCTGACTTTCTTCTTTCAGACTTGATCTCAGTTTTCTGGTCTCTGGTTGGAGGATCAGAAGGACACAGAGACCTCCATCATGGCTATTGCTGACCAGCTGCTGGAGTTGATGTTCTCCTGGATCAAGCAGAGGGAGTGCTGTGCAGAGCAGCTGAGGACTCTGGCCCAGGAGCTGGAGTCACTCAGAAAGAAATGTAACGCTGCAGAATGTGTTGGAAGCACATATGCAGTGGTTGGAGCCTTATCTCTGATCGGGGCCGGTGCAGCCACTTTGTTCACCGGCGGTGCAGCTGCTCCACTTTTAGGCGTGGCAGGAGCAGCGTTTTCAGGTGCAGGTCTTACTGTATCTGTGGCTTCTAAAATCATTGAGCACTTCTCATCCAGCGACACCATGGAAGAGGCACAGAAGATTGAAAAGAAGAGCAAAGAGGTTGCAGAAAAAATCCAGGATCTGTTTGAGAGACTGAAGGCGGAGAGTTCCTCCACTGACCCGGATAAGGTGGACCAACACGTCATGACTGAAATTCTGACAGCCATGACCAGAAGAAGTGGACTGGAGGGGCAGGTGGATTTCAGCGGGACATTTTTTCAGGCATACAGGGGGCTCAACCAAATCTTTTTCAACCCTGCCATGATAGATGGACTAGAAGTTGGACTTGCCGGTATTTTAAGATTTTTCACATATAGAGTTAGTGGGAAAATCTACAAACCTTTGTTTCTTGAAGGAGCTGAACAACTCACCAAACAGATGACTATAATGGCTGCTAAAGGAGGAAAAAGTCTCACCAAAGAAATGTCTAAAATTGGATTTAAAACAGCCTTTAAAGGAGGTGCCATGGTAAGATTCACTAACTATACACACATATTGTTTGGTAATTAAATCACACAAATGTGTCATTGTATAATTACACAATTTGTTATTTATGATTGATAATTATTGGTTTATTGTTTTTATGACTTTGATAAAGGGACACGTGTTCTGAGGCTGACAGTATGATAATATTGAAAATGAATCATGTATTGATCCATATTCATCATCAGGTTGTAGGAGGAGTTGTTGGACTGGCGTTTGAACTTCCTGAGGCGATTGACAACTGGAAAGACCTGATCAAGAAGAATCATGTGACTGAAGCGAGCCAATCACTGAGAGATACAGCTAAGGCCATTGAAAAGACTTGCCAGACACTGAGGGAACAGTTAAACAACAGAAAGTATGAAGTTTTCTGTGATTCTCCACCCAGATTCTCTCCTCCTGTAGTTCTGAGAACAGCAGCTGGACAGTTTAGATTCATGTTACTTCAAATACTGACTGCTTGTCCTGCTGGAAAAATCATCCAAAGAAACTTTACTTTACTGATACAGACTGTATCAGATATCAACCGTATGAGGATGTTCTGGCTTCATTTTTGTACAGTGGGAGGAATTGGAGACATCCATCTTTTATATGTCGATGAGTCATACTCATACATATTCATATTTTTACTAGAATATGGATAAATCTGTAGCAAGACCTACGAAAAGTCCTCAAAATGACAAATACTCACTTCCAGACACTGAAGCTAACAACATGCTGGCTAGCAGATTCACAGACGATTTCATTGGACACATTTTGACCGGGTATGGAACGGTTGACAACATTCAGGTTCATATTGCTGCTTTCAGTTGGGTTCTGTGGGTTTTTGGTACAACATTGTCAAATCTTAAAGGTCCAGTGTGTAGGATGACCCGAACAATACATATATAGCCCGAGACACTTGTGTCGCAAACTGACGGGTTCAAACACCTTTATTTACTCTAATTTTTGATAGCAGGGATCAAATACTTAGCCCAACATCTTTACCCAAATGAACATCACTTCAGGGTGAAATCTGTTTCTGCAACCACTGATGTTTAGTTTTGAAATTTTTTTGCTTACTGTTCTGTTCACTTGTCTTTATATCACTAGAAAGTGAGTTTAGAATGTGAATGGACATAAAGACAACGAGAATAATAAAGAGGGAGAAGGCTAAAAGTCTAAGAATCAAATCTACCCCCCCCAGTCACAATTAAAGCTTCACATCCCCTCTGAGAGCAGCGGTGGGGCTAGAAGGTGGAAGTAGCAGCCGATACGTAATGATTCGACGGTTTTCAATGGACCCTAGAATCCAAAACTAAATTAATATATCATTTGATAAAGCCTTGTTCTTCAGTCATATACATCCAAACTGGAAAAGCTGCAGCCAGTTTTATTTGTTAAGGTGTACCGCGTCCTGGGACCGTTCACTCGTTTTTATATACTGAAATTCTCAGAGTTGGTTTTCATAGTTTAGTCCTTATACTCCAAGATAAAGCTAGATTATTGATGTGTAGGGTGTATATTAATATTCATAGTGATGATTGACAATGACAGCCTTGAGCTAACGCTTTATCTCATTAATGGAGCACTCACAGGTGTGGCGTCTCATGGTCAGAGTGGAAAGAAACCAACTCCGGGGGTAAGTGGCACACGCGGGGACCGCGTGCGAGCAGAGGGCCAGGGGAGAGGAACAGGGGAAGAGGCGGTCCACAGAGAGCCAGGGGCCGAGCGGACAGTGAAGGAATAACGGGGGAATGGCGACGGAGGAGAGGACGAAGCAGGCAAAAGCGACGACAGCAGAGGCGAGCGGAGGGCGGCAAGCGAAAAAGGGAAGGAGAGAGGCGGCAGGCACCAAGGCCGGTAAGAGCGCAGAGAAAGAGAACAGAGGCGTAGGGCAGGAACGGAGTCACGCCAAAACTGCGGGGAGGCAACGGGAGGAAGACGGGCGGCAGGCGCGCGGCAGCAACGGGAGAGGCGAGCGGCGCGAGAAACAGAAAAGAAGAAAACAGAGGGAGAACGAGCACGACAACCACAAACGGCCAAGAAACGCGAAGAAACAAGGAAAGCAGAAGAGAACAAGGGCGCGCGGCGAAAAGGGTAACGAGGGGTCGCTGGAGAGGGCAAGAGAGGAGCGGAGAAGGAGAGAGAAAGGGCCTCGCCGGAAGGCCAGGAGAGCCGAGACCGCAGCACGAACGAGAAGACAAAGAAGAACAACTAAACCGAGGAGCCGGGCAGCACGGGGAAGCCAGGCGGACAGAGAGGGCAAGCGCGAGGCGAGCCAAGGGAGCCCGAGAAAGGAAGGGAGCAAGGACGGAGGAACGGCGGAGAAGAAAACGGGTGACGGAGGAGGAGAAGAAAAGGAGGTCTCCAAAAGACCCGGGAAGAACGGAGGGCAGGCGCGCAAGAGGACAGAAAGGGTGAACGAAGGCCACCGAGAAGAGAAGGCGAGAAGAGCGGCGCGAGTGGCCGCGCCGCCGGACGAGAGAAGAACAGGCGAAAAGAGAGCGGAAGCAGAGGAAAACGGAGCGAGAGCCGCAAGAAGGAAGGAGACGAAGGGCGCGCGAGAAAAGAACAAGAGAGGAAAGAAGAGAAAGGCAAGCGACGGAAAGGAGGGGAGACAGGGCGCGAAAGAGGCGACGCGCGGCAGCCGGGCGACAGGGCGGAAGAGGAACCGAGCGAGAGGCGAGGAGGGCGGAGAAGAGGCGCCGCGGGCAGGACGAGGGCCGGCGAGAAGTGCGGAAGAGCAGGGCCAAAGCAAGCGACACCCGAGGAAGGGCGAAGAGCGCGAGTGCCGGGCGGAGCCGGGGCGAAGGGGCGAGGGGGGAGTGGTGACCATGCGGGGAGGGGCCGAGGGGAAGGGGCGGTGGGGTGAGGATGCGATGAGAAGGGGTCTGAACGGTGAGTCGCAGGAGAGTCCGGCAAGCACGATGGTAATCAAGCAGGTGCAATTGGGTTGGTTTTATGGGATCGTGAAAGGGAAGTGTAGGAGGTACTTGTCTGTTGTATTTTATGGTCTTGGTTGATTGGTCATGGATGGGTTATCTCGTGGATGTAGGTGATTGTCGCCGTCGATAATGTAGCGACAGCACCCGCAGAGAGACAGCGGCGGAGGAAGGGGGCGCGAAGGGTGTATGTATGTAATCGCTGAAGAATGAGATAAGCATAAAGGTGAGTTGATTTAAGATAGGGTGCAGATGAGGATATGGAGGAGGGGGAATAGGTACTGATGTGAGAATGTGGCAAGAGCATAGGCATGAATGTGATGGAACTGTGAGGTTGTTCATGAGGGGTATGGTAATATATCATGGAGTTTGGGTGGGTGTTGATGTTGTAGTCCACTGCGTGAGTTCATGTAAGTGCTAAGGGGATGTTGTAAGTTGATGTAAGGTATAGGGCGTTATCTGTGTAAGGCGGTTCATGTTAATCTCCACTGATTGATATATAAATCATCCTGACTAAATTACTATCTGATAAGGAGCTAAATTGATAAACGTGAGAATCAGAGCAAATCAAGTATCTGTCCAGAGCGGTACACTAACTAATAAACTGGCTGCAGACTTTTCCAGTTTAGGATGAGTAAGACTAAGAACAAGCATTTCAAATGAGGATTTCATTAAATTTAGTTTTGTTTTAGGGGTCACATTAATAACGCTCGAATTCATATATGGCTGGCTATCCCACTCCCTCGGCCTGTGCCTTACGGGAAATAGGAGTATATAATTGTGACTGGGGAGGGGTATGAGTCATTATTGACTTTAGCTGTGTCCTCTGCTTCTGTCCCTGATCTTTGTTCCATCTCTGTCTAACTCCGTGCTGTGAATGGACAAAATAAATGTGGAAAGCAGGATTAGCATAAATCAACATCAGTGGTTGAAGCAGAACCAGAGTTTCGACCCTGAACAGTGATGTTCATGTAGAATGGTGGGAAGTAATCGACCTGTATCAAAATAGAGTATAAAAAGTTTGGAACCCGTCAAGTTTGCGATCCACAGGTCGGCTTAGTATGTATTGTGGGTCATCTAACACTGACCTTTAACATTTGACAATGATTGTTATCCAAAAACACACAAGAACCCATACTGAAAGCAGCAACTATAGAACGCTGAAGTGTTGTCAACGTCCAATACCCGTTGTCAAAATAGTGTCCAGATGAAAATCGTTCTGTGAATCTTGCTCAGCATGTTGTTAGCTTTGATCTGGAAGTTAGTATTTTCATTTGAGGACTTTTCGTAGGTCTTGCTATACAGATTATCCATATTTAGTAAAAATATATGAAATGTTTAGTATGACTCATCGGACATATAATAAGATGGATGTCTCCAATTCCTTCCCACTGTACGTAAAAATGAAGCCAGAACATCCTCATACGGTTGATATTGATTACAGTCTGGTATCAGTTAAAGTAAAGTTCTTTGGAGATTTTCCAGCAGAACAAGCAGTCCGTATTGAATTTACATGAATGCTAAACTGTCCAGCTGCTGTTCTCAGAATTATTAAGGAGGAGAGAATCTGGGTGGAGAATCACAGAGAAACTTGCATACTTTCTGTTGTTTTACTGTTACCTCAGTCTACTTGGCAAGTACTTTTCAGATGCCTTAGCTGTATCTCTCAGTGGATTGGCTCGCTTCATCCACATGATCTCTCTTGATCAGGTCTTTCTCAGTTGTCAATCGGGCCTCAGGAAGTTCAAACGCCAGTCAGACAACTCGCTCCTACAAACCTGATGTATATGGATCAATACTTGATTCATTTTCAATATATAGTAAAAGGTTAAAGGGACCTGTACTTGGACCTTTTCTTTATTCGATTACTTCACGAGTTTGTTTAAAGTACTTACAAATATGTAGTTACACAGGATCGGCTTCTCCTGCTTTCGTTTGTATTTTCTTGTTGATTGCTAATAAAAATCCTTTTTGTATTGAGTAAACTTTCCTTGGTTCTTTCTATGCAGGGTTTACATTATTTATTGTTCTCCGCATAATTCCCTGGTCATACTCATGTATCTCTTTTTCATATACAGTGGCAAACACAAGAGGAAATGCAGGAAGCGGAGTTTCATTAAAACTTGAAAATTTGACTGGATGTAAACTGTACGTCAAATGAATCAGAGGCATAGATTGGAATTTTCACTGGTTATTATCGGTAAAAGTACACGTGTATGTGTGGTGTGTGTGTGTGTGTAATTAGTCGTGTGTGTGGTTTTTGTGTGTTGCTATATAGAGTCGGGTGTACAGTATTCCATCTAATGTCCGTAGTTGTCGTCTGTGGCTAATGTCTCTGTAGTCAGTAGTGTGTTATATTTTTTGTGTGTCGCAGTGGTTGTCTGATCTTTAGACTTGCTGTAAGAAGCACCAGACTGCAATCTTTTATCTTGACCCACCACTGACTGACACACA